AAATGCACCAAAATGCACCATTTTGCATACTTTGCCCTTAGAACCTGAAAACACACAAAAGAAGCATAAAAGACTAAAATAACTAAAGAAACATAACGTAAATGCACGAGAACAAGCCATTTAAGTCGCATGAATATGCTCCTATCATTAGTCCATTAGAAAGGAGCATACCCCAGTCACTGAAATAGATTGGATGGCTAATAAAAAAAAATGGGGATCGCACAAAGGTTTCTCTTGAATCCTTGATTTATTTTTCTTCTTTATAAGTTTTCTAGAGAAATGGGTTCAAGGAATTGAGATTGTTTGTTTTTCTAGTTCTAATTTTTTGAAGAATGGATTTTGTCTTGACGAGATCTTCATGTCTTTCATGTTGCTTACTTTTAATTCTTTATGTTCTTGGTAAGTCAACAAATTTTGTAATCTGAATCCCACAAACGCTTGAGACTCTCGAATCATGAGTAGTTTTTATTCAAGTCGTATGATGTTCTATAGTCATTTGCTTGGCCATAATTAGTAGAACAAAGTTTGAATCTAATTTGAGGGGCGACATCGATCCACTCTGTTACAATGGGAGTTCATACTGATCCATTAATGCAAGTCTTGTAGAGTAAAATTGAGTGCGGTTTGAGCTTGATTTGTTTTTTTAACCATAGCACTAAGGGCTGGTTTGGTATTGCTGTGCTTTGAAAAAAAGCTGCTTCTGCTATGCTGTGAGAATAAGCAGCTGTGAAATAAAGCAGCAGAGTGTTTGGTAAACTTTTTAGTAAAAGTGCTTTTAAAAAAAAAACAGTATTATAGTGTTTGGTAAACTTTTATGTAAAACAGATGTGAAAAAAAGCCAGTTTTTCAAAGCTAGGTTTTGCAGCTTCTTGTTTTTGGCTTTTTTTCATCCAAAACTGTGAAAAAAAACTGAAGGTGAATGTTTACCAAACACAAAAACAGCTCCCAGCTTTTTTTGATACCAGCTTTTTTCAGATACACCTCAGTACCAAACCAGGTCTAAAGCTGACCTGATTGTTTTGTTGGATATACTGTTACATATTGCTTTGGTTCATAATCTGATCATGTAGTGCTCATTCACTTGAATCACTTCTATTTCAAATTTTTGTTTGCAAGTATTGTCACACCTTGATTCTGAAAAATGCCTTGGTCGACATGTGGTAGCAGAAAGTAGCAGTACCATAATACATAAAGTCAACTGGAACTCATACACAAAATACATCAGATAATCAGCGAAAACAAAATTACAATAAAGGCTCACAAACCCTACTTTGAATGCACAACACACACCAGCTACACCATTTGGAATCCTCTTCACTAAACACTACCTGTACTCTGCAAGAAACAACCCTACAACCATTGAAATAATGCACTTGACAAAGCAAAAACACTCATTAGCTGCGAATTGTGTGAGTGATAATAATATAACATATGTGATTTTAAAAGTTAGTCAATCTAAGTTATAAAACATTTCACACAAGCATTCAACCGACTTTTCATGATTGATCCATACAGGCATTCAATCATTCTTTCATATATATAATGAAATAATAGAGCTACGCCGACATCATAGAATCAGCAAGAAACTATGCACATGGTTTTTGAACCTCTCAAGAACCAAAGTATTATTCCAAAAACTCCCATGGAATCCGATATGATGTAGGGTTCCAAAACGTCTCATGAAACCGAACAGGAGTAGCTTCCAAAACCACTCATGGAACCTACTGAAAGTAAACCAAGATTCCAAAACCTCTCATGGAATTAGAAAGGAATTTAACAAACTAGGGACTTCATATCTACACATGAAACGAGAAAGGAAATATACAAGGTATCAATCCTCTACATAACCTTCTCAGTTTGCAATCATATCAATTATACGTAAATATATCATTTCAAACGAAAGATTATCGATTGGCAATAAACATATTTATAAATCCATGCTATATCCACAAAGTATATAGCCTCTTTCATATGCATAATAGTTTATCACATAATATTAAAATCACTCGCCTAGAGTCTAACTCACTTTAGAATAACTACAATAGAAGCTTCACACAAAACAATGTGTACATCATTAATGACCACAATGCTCTGATAGAACCTATGATCGTACACAACACTCCACTTAGGAATTTTATCAAAACTGACAAGCAAAATGAGACATAGTGCTACTTACATGTACAGAGAGATGCACAACAACCGGGAACAACACATTATTATGATTAGCCCAGTGTTCTAAAAATCGACCTAGGCGGCGCCTAGGTGCTAGACGACTGCTTATCGGCTCGATTTCACTAAAATTGTTGAACAAGTCAGCTAGACTATTAGGTGGCACCTAGACAGCCACCTGGGAAGGCTAGGTGGGCTAGGCAGCCTCGACGACCTTTGGGCAATTCTGTAACTTCAAAAACTATCGCTGCAAAGGTTGTGAATCTCCGGTGTCCCACTGCAATTTCATCGCGTTGCTGCACCTTGTCCCCTGTCTGCGTGCGTAGAAGAAGAGTCAGCATCAAAGATTTGATGAGAGATAAAGAGAGAGAGAGAGCTTTGTAAATTTGCAATTGCAGAGAAGAAGAAGTGCGACGCTGCTGTGTTAGCTAGAGTTAGTGTTAAAGATTTTAAAGTTGGCTGATAGTTCTTTTAAAATTAGGGAATAAGTTATTTATTTATTTTATTTTGTTTAATGTGAAAGCAAAGGCCCAACCATTTTTTAATGACAATTGAAAGTAAGGTGCAACAATGATTAAAACATATTAGGCTTAGAAAAAACGTTACAAAACCAAGAGTATCCTTAAACATATTGTTGAACCTAAAAATTACAAAGCCTACGTGGCGCGCAGGCCAAGTAACTAATAAGCTAACTATGTCCTTCGGTTGAATGCGGGGCGTGCCAACTCGTCGGCCGAGTTCGGCCGAGGAGTAAAATTTGTTGATGTTGCGTTGAGCGCGTTGCTGACTTCTTTATCTTGCGACTGCGGCCGAGGAAGGAACAAATCTCGGCCTTTGGATTCTCGAGCCTGAAGACAAGGCTGCTAGTTCTACGAAGTTCAATATCAAATTCGGCTCTCAAGGTGCCGAATGTAGTAACCTGGTAACACCTCACTTCGCCGAGAAGGCTAATGAGATGACCTCTGCCAATAAGGATTTGAAAATCCTTCTCGACCGAGACTTGGATAGATAACCAGTCGGCCTCGACGCAGTGCTGTTTATCCAAACTGAAGGTGCTTCGGGAACGGCTGATTCTACTGCAACAGTGCTGTTTATCCAAACTGAAGATGTGTCGGCGGAAAAAAGAAAATAAAAAAATCTCAAGATGTTTGAGAGGTTTTGCGCAGGGCATTTGTGTGTTGAATTGGAGGTCCTTTTTACATTGCCACTACCTCTGTATCTATAGGGACATATGCGTGTTGGTTGATAAGCTGATATAGGCTTCCGCCATGCATTAGAACTCTTCCACTGATTGCGTCATATAAGCCTTCCTATTCCCAAAACTCTGAATTTAGTCAAAATTGCAACCTAATTCAATCCTTATGCAGCCCTATCACATCAAATCCCAAGATAGCTTGGATGCTTGGATTTGATCAAATAATGCCCATCAAAATAACCACCAATCCATGTACACCGATGTGGTTGGTTGCTTTTTGGAGATAACCATCACAAACTTGTGGTGTATAATTACCTAGGAAATAGTCTCCCAACCTTCCACGTATATGCATGTGCTGACTTAAAGAATTGCAAATGAATTGCAATTCTTCTACTTAATATTATCCCATGCAGAGAAGGGCTAAAACATATTAAAAGATAATGCCATGATTAAAACCACAATATATCTTTCAATAACAGCAAAATTACCTTCACTTTTCATCCGACGGTTGGAAGTATGCTTACCCAATGACCTTGATTACTCGGGCCGATGGTGTAATTTTGGGTCCAAACACATATATATATGTGTGTATGTGTGCATGTAATTTTATTTTTGCTTAAAATATAATAAATTTACTTAAGTATGTGTAATTTTATTTTTCAATTTTTGTATTTCAGTATAATTATGTATTTTTTAAGTATAAATAGACACTTATTTATATTATTTTACGTAAATCCGCCTAGTCCGCTTAAGCCCTACCTAGCAGCTTAGGCGTTAGGCCCTAGTACGTCGCCCGACTAGCGTCTATCATTTTTTAGAACCTTGGATCAACCAACTAAGATCCATCAAGCTCTCAACATCTTATTCAAATTTCACGATGATCCAATGGTTAGATTGTCATTAATTACAAAAATCGAGCGGCGATACAATTAACTCAAAAATCAAATAACCAAATCATTGCATCAAATCTCAACAAACAAATCTTAGATATAGGCTCAGGAGATTAAGAACATTTTTTTGCCCAAAATCAAGTCATTGTGCTTCACAGGCATGTATATCTCAACACGAAGAACAACTTTTATACTTGCCACGAAGTCCAAAGTGGATGGAAGGCAGGCAATTTCTCAGGTAAAGGTTGCGAGTGCTGTAATCTTCACGGTGTAGAATTTTTGCATACTGTGATTCAATGAGGTTAGGGTTGGTCGGGTTCTACTCTTAGGATGATGAGCTACATAACTTAGGAGGTGGCGTCGGTTGCAGTTTAGCCAATTTAGGGTTTATGATAAGACCTTCGAATCCCTCTTTTTGAATCTATTTGTCAACTTTAAGTTGTAAGATTTAAAATTTTTAAATCGTATACCAAACAAGTTTTTGAGTTTTAAAGAAAATTATTATCAAAAAAACTTTTAAGAAATATTTTAAGAAATTATAAAAATTTTCAAATAGGATATCAAACAAGCCCTAAATTTCTAAACGGAATATAGCAAATACGCTTTTATTGAGATAATGTTGGTCATTTACATTAAATCTTGTATTTGTCCCTTTTATGATCAAAACGCGTGCCGTTGACAACAAGGGCATTGTCGTCCAACAAACACCTCCCTAGGGTCCCGAAGCCACCTAGCGCCCCCCTCCTCTCCCCCATCTGTCCAATGCCCCATCACAAAAAACCCAAGACGGAATTTTCCAAATCCAAATTCCACGGCCGCACGCACAGACACTCGGACACTTACCCCTCCCAATTTTCCCTCCCCGCCGACTGGAGATCTCGCCGCCTCCCTCCCCAACCGTACCCCACGCCGCCCTCTCCGACACCAAATTCGCACCCCAGCTCAATTCAATTCAAGCCCCCCTTCTATTCAGTTTACTCTTTCCACGGCGTGATGATTTTCATGTAAATTTCGATTGGATTTTCAAGATATCAATTTGAAATTTCCCTAGAATGCCGGAAAAGCTGAGATTATGACATTTTCCCGTGAAAATTATGAGGGCAGGTTCTTCCGACGAGCCCAATTCTCCTTCCACCTCTGTGCCGCGCGTTCCTCAGCCCAATCCGTGCAAGCACAGGTGAATCTTGGACTTTTTTATTGAATTTTGGTAGGAATTCATGAGTTTTTATGTAATTCAATTACCAAAATGGTGTATTGTGGATTAATGCTTTTGCAAATTATATCTATTCATGCTTTAATTTTGTGGTTTTGCATGGTGATCCTAATTGAATTAGTTCCAACCCGAATTTGGTTTTTCGATTGATTAGCTTTTATCGAAATTGGTTAGAATTTAGGAAGACAATTTTGGAGATTGAGGAGGTACCGAGTTTTTGTTTTTGTTGTTGTTTCAAGTACTTTCCGTGCTTGAGAAATGGTTTCGGTGTTGATTTTGTAAAATCGGATTGGAATATTAATTGGCACTAATTCTTGATTTCAAACTGATTTGCATGTATCTGATGTTAACTGGCAGTGTTAGCAATGTCCTTAGATTGTTAGCACGGAGAGAGGTTTCTCCGCAAACGAAACATTGGTCAAAGAAGTTATGGGGGGAACCTCCGAAGTCTAATTCCGATTCTGTTGGCCCAAAGTTTGAAACAGCTAGAGATGCTAGGCACAGCCTTGTCTCATGGTAAACTGCCAATTCATTTAGTCGCTCTCTCATAATTTTCTTGCAACAAAAAAAAGCATACTGCTTTGTTTTTTCTAGTTGTTTGAATTATTTTGCATTTAGTTTGATCTTTCAATTCATGGTCTGTCTTGAAATTGGATCGACTTCAGGGTGGAGGCAGAGTCACTCCAGCATTTGTCTTCCAAATATTGTCCGCTTGTGCCTCCTCCACGTTCAACTATTGCAGCAGCCTTTAGCCCCGATGGAACGACACTAGCTTCAACTCAGTAAGTCCTGCTATGCATATATATATATATATCTCGGCCTGGTATGGGGTTTGCCTAAAGCTTAGTGTTGAGTTATATTTATTCTAAGAAGTGTATCATTTATTAACTTTCAATTGCAACTGTAATTGCAGCGGAGACCATACTGTAAAGATTATTGATTGCCGAACTGGGATCTGCTTAAAGGTCTTGAGTGGTCACCGTAGGACACCGTGGGTGGTAAGTCTACAGCACTGGATATTTGATTCTGAATTTCTTTTGTTTTTGTTCAAATACTTGAAGTTGAATGTTAGCTTCTTGCTTCAGCTTGCTGCAAGATGTTGTGAACAATTTTTTAAACAGAACAGCTTGAGATTTGGTGAAACATTAAAGCTTCTTTTTCATCCATATTCTTTTGCTAAGAAATATAGGATGCCATCTATGCTTATAATGCTAAAATTCTCTCTGCAAGAAGTTTTATGCTCTCGTCAAAAGTCTTTGGGTTGCTTTATCCTAATCTTTTTTAGTGGATGTTGCCACTTTAATCTAGTTGTTTTATTCATCAACAAAATTACTGGTTACCAGATCTGACACTTCAGCATAGCTACTCGGTACATCTCATTAGCTTCCTGTGCATTTCTCACTAGCTGGTTGTGCTTTTGCAGGTTAGATTTCATCCTGTGTATCCAGACATATTGGCTAGTGGAAGTTTGGATCATGAAGTTCGCTTGTGGGATGCAAACACGGCAGAATGTATAGGATCTCGTGATTTTTGTAAGTTTTTGCGTTGATTATCAATCATTAAAACAAACAATTTATTCTTTTTTTCATTTAAGTTTGTGTCATGGATATGATTGTTAGTGCTTTTTTCTCCACACAGTGCGTCCCATTGCATCCATAGCTTTCCATGCCCAAGGTGAGCTGCTCGCTGTTGCGTCAGGTCACAAGGTAAGATTTTTTATTAGGAAATTTTAACTAATCATGCTTATCTCTTATTAATGGCCTTAACCTTTAAATCTTGCATTAGTTGTACATATGGCACTACAATAGGAGAGGGGAGACATCCTCACCAAGCATAGTACTGAAGACACGACGTTCACTCCGGGCGGTGCATTTTCACCCACATGGAGCTCCTTTCCTTTTAACTGCTGAGGTAAATTTTTGGGTAGTCGTTTTGGTAGAAATATTAATCGTTTTCTTTGATTAAATATATTTGATTCATGTATTTTTCTTATTTGTAGGTCAATGACATGGACTCCTCAGATTCCTCGATGACACTTGCAACTTCTCCGGGTTATTTGCGCTATCCTCCACCTACCGTATATTTGGCAGATGGTCAATCTAGTGATCGTTCCAGTTTGGCAGATGGACTACCTCTTATGTCTTTACCATTTCTGATATGGCCTTCATTTGCTAGAGATAATGGGAGAATATCTATGCAGCGTAGTGACACGGACATTGGTTCAAGTAGTGTGCAACAGAGAGTTGATCCTTCTGCTTCAGTGCGGTTGCTAACATATTCAACTCCTTCAGGGCAGTATGAACTTCTGCTGTCCCCAATTGAACCTAGTAGCTCTTCTCCAGCACCAGAAGAGACAGAAACTAATACTTTCTTGAGTGAAATGGAAACTGAAGTTTCTCAACCTGCAATGGACAGTTTAGAGGCTTTGGAAGTGCAACCTGAAGGGAGGAGCAATCATATTTTCCCATTTGGTGACTCAACATATTGGGAACTTCCTTTTTTGCAAGGGTGGTTAATTGGTCAGACCCAAGCTAGCCAACGGAATATGCGGCTGGTAGGTGATGCTACACAAGATAATCCATCTGCACGTGGTGAGATGAATCCAGCCATAACTTCCTCGGTAATACCAACCAGTGTGAGCCAATCCAGGCTTACTGGAAGATCTAGTTCCCGGCATCGTACTTCACGAACTCATATGGTGTCGACGATTGGATCTAATGAAGGTGCTGGATTCAATAGTTTTGCGCATGCTGAAAGTGAGCCTCAACCAGTTGCAAGTAGAATCCAATCGGAACTTGCCAACTCACTTGCTGCAGCAGCAGCTGCAGAGTTGCCTTGCACTGTAAAGCTCAGAATTTGGCCACACGATTTGAAAAATCCTTGTTCTCCCCTTGATGCAGAAAGATGTCGCTTAACCATTCCACATGCTGTACTTTGTAGGTAAATTTCTTTCTGTTTTCAACGTTCATGGTACTTTGTTGTTCTATACAATTTGACATTGCCTTTAGCTTATTCGTAAGTCTTGCAAAACCAGTACATTGATAAAGGATGCAACATCAGTTGGTAGTTTGTTTTTACGTTTGGTTTTTTTGTCAAAGGTAGTTTGTTTTTACTGGATTTACACCTTTTGCAAAGAAATATTTGATTAGTAGATGATTATGAAATGTTGGCTTTTTTTTCTTTTATTCTCTTTCAGCATTGCATGATTGTTTGAACTTTAATGGTATTACTGGCTGTATCTTTTTGGATTTTTACTTAATAATTTGTTGCAGTGAGATGGGTGCCCATTTTTCCCCTTGCGGAAGGTTTTTAGCTGCTTGTGTTGCATGTATGTTGCCCCATATGGAAGCTGATCCTGGATTGCAGAGCCAGGTCAACCATGATGCGACAGGGGCATCAACTTCCCCAACTCGACATCCAATTTCAGCACACCATGTCATGTATGAGCTCCGGATATATTCCCTTGAGGAAGCAACGTAAAGCTTTAACTCCCTATAATCTGTGTTGCACTTTCATACCTCTCTTTTAGCTTTCCATTTGCATTTTCCTTCTTTCTACAACCTGATTTTCTTTTATCTATCTAGATTTGGAATGGTTCTTGCATCCCGGGCAATAAGAGCTGCCCACTGCTTAACATCTATTCAGGTCAGCTAAATTTTGAACATGTATGACTTATTGGGTCATCTTGATCATTAGTTTCTCATTGGTTTTCAGACAATTCTTTACTTATTTAACTTTTTTCCCTAAGACTACAGCAAATCTTTAACGGAAAATGCTTCATTTTAACTGAAAACTATGATTAGCAGCCCTGTATGGAGTGCATCCCTTGAAATCTCATCATAAGAGCTCAACGATTCATGTCAATGCTCAGCCTAGCTTTAGTTTGAGTTAGATACTCTGGAGTTATGATAAGGATATATCTTTTATGTTCGTAGAATGTAATGAATTACAGTTACGCATATTTTTTATAAGGCATTTGCCACCAGAAAATCTAAAGTTGAAGCAGTCTTGTTATGTAGCGGTATGTAAACACATACATATATAGGTATGTTTTATGTAGGGAGAATCTGTTAGGATTGCCTTATATTGTTGATGCGTGATCATGTTGTTTCAATATTCAATCCAACAGCTGATTGGTATATGACCTAGATGTCCAATGCACCGCTGTTATGATTAAAACAAATAATCAATAAACTGATATAGAAGAAGGTATATAAATGAGTGAAGACTTGGACTCTGTATGAACTATCATTATGGCAGCGGTCTATGGGTGGACTTAGTGGCAGATCATTAAGACATTAGGTTTTTATTATTTAGATAATATTTTAAGTTACGCATCCTCAGCACATACCCACCTGACTGCTCAACTACACAAATTAAAAGATGTGTATATTGTATTTTAGCGGGCTTCTGGTACTTAGCTTTGTTCTATTCCACATGAATCTCTGGGGTTCTCTAGTTGTGTTTACCTGTTTGTAACAGTAACTCACACACACAGACACACACATACGTCTGAGTTACATATAGTCCCTTATATGTAACTTTTTCATGCATGCCATCTGGTTATGAACATTCTATTAAGTGACTGCCTTTGTTGCCGAAGTATTCTCAGTTTCACCTGTCAATAGTCCTTAGGTTGAATAGATCTCCGAACTCTAATAGTTGTCTCATTTATAAGCAAAAGATTCACAACCTAATAATATTTTTTCCTTTATATTTCTTCTAGATCAAGCAAAGATTTTGTACTTTCATCACACACTTATTCCGTTTTGTTATTCCTTGATTTACTGTGGCAGTTCTCTCCTACGTCAGAGCATATATTACTTGCCTATGGCCGTCGTCACAGTTCACTTCTGAAGAGTGTTGTCATTGATGGAGAGACAACAGTGCCTATTTACACCATTCTGGAGGTAGGATTTTTTAGTTCTCTTCCGTCCCTCCCTCTTCATTTTAGTTTTAATTTTTAAATATTAAAGTATCTTTTATTTTTGTTTCAAATCTGTGTCTTATTAACATTGGGTGTTTCAATCAATCTGTAAAGTAACATCTAGAAACTTATGTAATATTTAATCTGCTTCTAATAAGTAATGACAAGGATATGAAATTTTTATGAATTTTGGTTGAGACTAATGTATGCAACCTAAGTTGGATTAAACTAGTCTTAGAGTGGAATAATTGAATTTGGTGCAAACTAAAAGTCATTTGTAACTGAACTCGTGTATGAAATAGATTTTATGTCAACTTTCTTATAAAGTTGACCATAGTTGTGGCCTGTGGTTCAACTGTGCATGATATAACTTTCATGTGTTACCAGTTGCTTTTGGTTGTCCTCTATTATGAGTGTTCATGTAACATTCTTAGTTGTTATTCAGGTCTACAGAGTTTCTGATATGGAGCTTGTGAGAGTTCTTCCTAGTGCAGAGGATGAGGTCAACGTAGCTTGCTTTCATCCTTCAGTTGGAGGTGGCCTTGTCTATGGAACCAAGGTAATCAATTCTGTTTCTGTGAGCTTCTTTTGCTTGTTTGGTTCCTCCCCCAATTCCCATAACTCAGTGTTTTCATGTTGTGAAATGCAGGAAGGGAAGTTAAGGATCCTCCAATATGATAGTTCTTATTGCATGAATCAGACAACAACTGCTTTTCTTGATGAAAACATGCTTGAGGTACAACATGACCCAATTGGAGGGTTTATTTGTTCATTGTTCTTTATTTTTGGATGCAATTATGCCTTTCCTTCATGTTTGGTTTATAAATTGCTGCAAAATCAAAGTGTTCATCCTTTAAGTGTTTAATTACTTTTCTTAGCTGTTCATTCTCCTGATATTACCAGTGTCTATTTTTGTAGGTCCCAACATATGCCTTGGAATGCTAGGAACTAGCCATCATTTTCCACTTGTGGGACGAACCACTCAGCCTAGCCGGTCTGTTTCTCTTTTTGAAGATCTATTGCTTTTAGATTTTGTCAAATTAATTTTACTTCCAGCACCAACGTGTAGGATGGAGAACGTTCAGAGTATGACGCCTTTAATATTACACTTATTTTCTAGAGGTTTTGGTGATGGGTTGAGGTTTTTCTTGAGTATGGATTCCTCCTTTTTTGTTGTAAATAAAAATTATAGGAAGCCCATGGATTGAATAGGACGGGCATGGATTGAATACACTCGTAGGTTTATAAGCTACATCTTTAAGAAATAAGGTCTAAGATATTAGTTTACATTCCGATGGCTCCGGTTTCTTGGGGGGAAGAAACTTATAATGGCCCTATGTTTTGCTTTCAGGATGAAATCACGGTGTATCCGTGAAGCTGAATATTGTGCCTGACTGTTTCTTCTTCAGTCAAATGCCTGTGAAACGCTCTATTCAGAATCGAAAAATACAGCTTTGTAATTTTTCTTTATTGTATTTTTAGAGTATATGTTGTTCAAATTACTAGGGAATTTAATTTAACAAGGGAACAGATAAGTTGGGAGCGAAAAACCGTGTTGTATATGCGTGTTTGGTTCCATTGGACATTGTTAGCAATGTAATTGATTCTCTTTTTCTTTATCTTGAACAAGGCATTGTGTTTTTAGGCCCTTGTATGTTGGCCTTCACTGTAAAAAAAGGGAAAAAAAGCAGAGCAAAGTTTCTCTAAGTTATTGTTTTCCTTTCCTTTCGTTTTATTTTTACTCGATTTTTGTTGCGGGAACGTACTTTTCTATTGGGATTGATCTCCGCACTCCTGTTTTCTCGTTTTCGCACGTGCCGGAAAGGAGAAAATGGGTGTAGGTGAATCACTTCCCTTTGTTTTACCAGCTTTACCCACCGTTGGAAGAGCACAAACTTGTTCCGCTCGTTTGCTTGTCAAACTGTACGCACCTAAACAAAGAAGAAAATGGCTCTGTCGGAAGTGTCTTTCTTCTTCTGGACATGGAAGTCGATCTCCGTGAAGTGAATCGAGTTCCCATCCAGGAGAGAGCACTGTACTCTGGACTGGCTCACACCCAAAAGAGAGCAAGATTTCCAATCAATTTCCCCTTTATCCGTCCACATCTACCATCTTCCGTCGAATAACAGAGCTTATAAACACGGCAAATGTTGCAATAAGAAATCCTTGCGACAAGGAATAGATCTTCCCTAGTTTTGATTATGTAAGCTCCGTACATGTCATACACGTCAAGTAGGGACGATGCATCACGTTGGATGTCCATCTCTTTAACAGGAAACGAAGAATTCGTGTAGTCCCGTACCTCAACGGTGCAATCTTGACGCATCGTACCGGAAAATATCAATTTACCAGCCGTGCTCATCAAGTTTCGTCCACTTACTTTGCTCTGGAGTTTTACGGAAGGCAAGACGATTACACAAATCATTTTCAGACCAGTACTAGTCCAATTTTCTGCAGTACCAAGACTCCGACGTTAGCAGCACCCCTGTCTCGCTCTATTCTCTCTCATTCTATATTTTATTTCCAATGCGTTATCAGCAAGAATGTGCTCTTGAATTCTGCTTTTGGAGAATCAGAGATAAGAGAATCGCACACAAACTGCAAGATCGAAGGAGCGCAAACAAGCAAATATGCTTTGGAGGATTATGCTCTCTATAATTCTTGTTAAAACTTCTGCACTAGTAATATTGATCATTTATCCTTCATTCCATGGTATGTCTTATATTCTCTTTGTTTCAGATTTATTTTTGAAGTAAAAGATGAATTTTGCACTCTATCTGTTACAGGGCAAGACAATGCAATACGCTTGTGAGGTTTTCAGTATGAGCCACCCCATAAGAAGTTATGATCTAATTTTTCCAAATAATTCGTCTTAAGATGGTTGTCTTAGGAGTGACAGTGGGATTTATGAAGAGGCATATCCGAGCAGTCGTATACCTATGATTTAAGCATGGGCATGCAAATGAGAATGATTGGATCACGAATTGATGATCACTGATATTTTTTAGTTATTATAGTAGCTATTCATATCTTCAAGGGCTATACAATCATGTTTTCTCATTGATGTTGACAAAGTAAAAGGGTCAACCAAATTAGAAAGAGGCACATTTCATTTTTGTGCCGTTGAAAAATGTGATATTAGTGAACCTATAGTTTGAATCCCAAAGGGTTTTCTTTGGTGTTTTTACTAAAGTGAAATAAAATCGCTATTGGGATAAGACTTCTTGGCAGAGACATAGTCTCCTATTTTAGGCTCAACCATGTTTCTAGAAGTATATTGTTATATTAAATTTGAGACTTATGGCATGTGGATATTGCATACTACTTTAGATTTTTGAGTTTTAATGTATCTCTAGAAGCAATTTCTTAATAAATAGAGAATTCCATGAAATTCTTCTTCAAATATTTCAATTGAAGAGCATGAAGCTCAAAGTATGTACTCAATACTAATATAGAGAAAATATATGAGACAATGAAGAGGGTAAGAAGGATGATGGGAGTGATGTAGATGTGTATGAAATAGTATACAATATAAAACTTTCTAAAAAATAAACAAAAATAAAACGAAAATGAAAACAAAAAACCATGTGTCCTATATTTAACTGACAAGGGAAAGAGGCTGGCGGCACAAAGAGAATATAGAGAGAGATATGTTTGTAGGGTTGTATAGAGGAATGTGTGTTATTCCCCCTACGCAATGCCTTTATTTATAGTAATAAGAGAGAAGAAATCCTTCTCCTCCAAGGAATACAAGTCCATATAGGAAAGAATAACTAGAATCAAATCAAATCTAGGATTTACACAATCACACTTAAACTAGAAGTTTATAACACTCCCCCTTGAGTGTGTAAATACTCAAGTAGGTTAGGCATCATGTAGAGGTTGAGGAAGTCAACTCATTGGCACTGATTGTGGGAACATGCTATTCTCAATAAGGTAGGAACTTGCATAAGGAAGTAAGTCTCACAAAAAACCTAAGGCTATGGTAAAAACCCGAGTAGGGACAAAATCCATAGTCTAAGGAAAAATGCGTGAGTAATGCAAAATCAAATGAAATGTCTATGGGACGTCATCAGGGATATGATCAACCCAAGGTGGGTGCCTCATTAAAACCTAGATAGGTAGCAAAAACCCAATGGGAAAAATGCTCCTAATTGTAGGGAAAAATAGTACATTAAGATCAAGCAAGTATACTTCAGGATACTCCCCCTGAGTTTAACACAATTCCAAAGAGAACTAGCAATGTTACAACTCAGAAAGTTTATGCATACTAATTCCTTGAATTGCCTTTGGTAATGATTTGGTGAAGAGGTCGGCCATATTGTCTTATGAACGGATTTGCGTGACTTCAATCTTCTGATGCTCTTGTTGTTGATGTGAGAAGAAGAATTTCGGCGCAATATGCTTGGTGTTATCTCCATTGATGTAACCCTTCTTGAGTTGTTTGATGCATGCTGCATTGTCTTCATAGATCGTCGTCAGGACATCAACGACGCGGTAAAGATCGTAGGAGCTTCGAATATCGCCCACAACTGCTCTCAACCAAATGCATTCTCGAGTTGCTTTATGTAAGGTGATAATTTTAGCATGTTTAAACGAAGTGGCAACTAAATTCTATTTAGTTGACCTCCAAGAGATTGTGGTGCCTTCAACGGTAAAGACATAACCCATTTGAGAGCGTGCCTTGTGCGGATCAGATAAGTATCATGCGTCGGCAAAACCAACAAGGTGAGAATCAACTCGAGATAAGGGGGTGCGGCATCACTCGAGGATTCGTAGGGATAGAACAAGCCCAAATCCGTAGTACCCTTAAGGTAACGTAAAATGTCTTTAATACTAGTCCAGTGTATACGTGTTGGTGCATTATTGTATCTTGCTAAAAGATTAATAGCGAATGAGATGTCGGGTCTAGTGCATTGAGCTAAGTACAATAAAGCGCCTATCGCACTTAGATAAGGAACTTCAGGCTCCAAAATCATTTCATCATCCTCATTCAGATGGAAGGGATCTCGTTTTGCATCTAGTGATCAACTGATCATATGAGTACTCGAAGGCTTCACTTTATCCTCGTTAAAGCGGTGAAACACCTTCTGGGTGTAGTTCGTTTGTTGTACTAAGATTCCATCCAAACAGTGCTCCATCTCAAGACCGAGACAATATCGAGTTTTTCCCAGATCTTTTATCTCAAATTCCTACTTTAGGTGCACAATAGTACTTGCGAGATCTTCAGGAGTTCCGATGAGGTTCATGTCATCGACATATACTGTAACAATCGCAAAACCAAAATGTGACTTCTTAATGAACACACAAGGGCATAGTTCATGTCCACATATCCTTGACTAGTCAAATACTCACTCATATGGTTATACCACATTTTTCCTGATTGCTTCAAACCATAGAGTGAACTCCTCAGCCGAATTGAAAACGTGTTCCAGGGTTTGGAAATATTTGATCTAGTCAATGTAAGTTCTTCAGGAACTTTCATATAAATTTCTGTATCAAGATCCCCATAGAGATACGCAGTTACTATGTCCATCGCTACATACTCAGTTTTTGGAAAACTACCAAATTGATAAGGTAGCGAAAAGTAATCACATCTATAAATTGTGAATAAGTTTCATCATAGTCAATCCTAGGGCGTTGTGAGAAGCCTTGCGCAACATGGTGAGTTTTGTAATGCACAATTTTGTTCTTCTCATTACGCTTCCAAACGAAAACCCACTTGTAGCCAACGAGCTTCGCATGTGGAGGAGTAGGAGCTGCAGGTCCAAACATCTTACATTTCACAAGCAAATTGAGTTCGACTTGGATTGCTTGTTTCTAGTTTGACCAATCGGTTCTACGTCGACATTCATCAATGGAACGAGGTTCAATGTCATCACTCAACATGATCTCAGTAGCTACTGCATATGCTATTGCATCGTCGACGACCATCTCATTTCTACATCAAATATCATCTAAGCTAGCATAATAGAACAAAATCTCACGATTCTCAGGAGGTGGCTTCGTCTCTTCAAGGACGGGTCCGTAATCTAGAATTTCCTCATGAGTTGGATAGAATGAGTAAGAGATAGTCGGATTCACGATAGGTTCTTCAGGTGTCTGTGACGTGGGTTTCCTCTTCTGAGGGTGTGAATCCTTTAAACTAAGAGGTTTGCCACGTTTTTGTGTAGTGGCAAATGATTAGCTAGCTGCTAATGTACGTGGATCGCCAAAATTAGCATCCCGAGCCTCCAGGAGGGAAGTCTATTGTACATTTAGTACATCAATCTTTGTAGGCATATTCGCAGCTGGAATATGTGATCTTGTCACTCGTGCTAGATCGGTGAAAGCATATGGCATGCTTTGAGCTATGCTCTAAAGATCTAATATGCGCTGCACTTTAATTTTAGACTGAGCAGTGTGGGGATCTAAATGGGACAAAGTGGGAGTCGTCCCTGATAATTCACGTCGTTCTTCAGGAACGTTGACGTTCTTATCTTTCCCTAACGACGGGAAGACTCTCTTATAGAAGTGACAATTTGCGAAACGAGCGGTAAATAGATCATCTGTCAAAGGTTCTAAATAACGAATAATCGAAGGAGAATCATATCTGACATAAATTTCCATCCTTTGCTGAGGCCTCATTTTTGTACCCAAGGGCGGTGAAACCGGCATATAGATCATAGAACAAAAAATGCGCAGATGCGATATGTCGTGTCGTATCT